GTTCCAAGCACCCACACAGAGTTCTCAACTGTTGGTAATGCCAGACTCAGAGGAGGATCAAATGCCCTCTTCTGACTTTTGCAGGTACTGCATGCATGTGGTGCACAGACACATGCAGCCGAAATGCCTATGCACACACACAAAAAATTTAATGTCCAATTGTAATTGTTGACCTAGCATTTTCTTTCTACAATTCTATAAAATTTATATAATGTTTTGAGGTAGAAAGTTAGTTTATATGCTTGGGAGATACAGCTTTGTTTTACTATTTCTTTCAGTAATCATCTTTGCCTCATTCTTGCATAAGGTTTTTTTGCCCTTGTTTCCTTAATATTTAAGTTCTTTGTTAGGGATACAAGCTCTTCCTCTGTGAAATGTGTTAAAGATTTTTCCCACTATGTGGTTAATTTGGCTTTACATATGGTATCTCATGCCATGCAAAGATTTGGTGTTTTGTGGGTACAAGGGAGTAATGAAATTGATTATTTTTCATGCTGGCAGTATAGCCTACTTGATAGATTATTTGCTTAATGTACACATATCTCCTAGTTTGATTCCCATGGCTGTATAACCTGGGCATGATGGCTGACACTTTTGGGAGATCAGCAGGAATCAGGAGGTACAGGTCACTCTCGGCTACATCATGAGTTAAAAGTCAGCCTGAGCTATCCTGAGCTACCCAGCACCTGCTCTCAAGGAAAAGAGGAAAAAGGAACAAGTAGTGGATAGCTTCCCATTTGATCAAATCATTTTTTTGTCTTTCAGAAAATTTTTAAAAGTTACTTTCTTTTAAAATTTTATTTACTTTTATTTTATGTGTGTTGTTTGACCTACATGCATGTCTGTGAGGGTACCAGATCTTGGAGTTACAGTTGTGAGCTGCCATGTGGACGCTGAGAATTGAGCCCAGGTGAACCATGATTTTAAGTTACTCTCATGTGGACTTTACACAGCCCTTACTCCTAAGCATTCAAAGGTTTTCTGTTAGAAGGGCAAATATGTTTACATCTTTTTGTTGTATGGCCTGTGCTTTGGATTGTTGTGTTCACTTTATTTCTTGCTGAGATTTTATTAATTCTCAAGAGGTTCTCAGGAATACCATCATGTTATCTAAGTACAGAGAGAACTTTTTATTTTTTTAACCTTACACATCTATTTTCTTCTTGCTTAATTGATTTAGTAAATACTACCAGAACAGTTTTGAACAACTGTGGAAAGAGTGACCATTCTTGCCCAGTGTTTTCCCATGGAGATATTTTTTGTTGTATCGAGGTGTATTATTTTCTCTTTTAAATGAGCTATTCAGCTGTTCTTATTTTTTCAAGAGATTTTTTATTGAAGGAATTGGGGGTACATCTCACTCAGTAAAGTGCTTGCCTAGAACACACAAAATCCTGGGTTTGATCTCTGACATCTCACAAATTGGACATGATGGACTCACATATTATCCCAGTACTCTGGAGGGGAAGGCAAAAGGGTAGAAAGTTCACAGTTACCCTCAACTCTATAGCAAGCTTGAGGCAGCCGGGGCACAGGACACCTGTATAAAATAAAGTAACATGGCATAAAAATAAAGCTTTTATTAGAACTGAGTCTTGATTTTGTCATGGATATTTTCCAACAACTATGAAAGTAATCACATAATTTCCTACACAAATCTGTTAATGTCGTAAATTGTATTGATAAGACTTCCTAACACTGAACCTTCCTTACTTTTTCAGTATAAATGATCGTGCATATAAGTTTCTTAATATACTTACTGGTTAGAATCTTTTTACTGGTATTTTATGTAGGATTATTACATCAATCACTATTCACATGAGGTATGAATCTGAAATTTCCTTTATTATAATCTCTGTATGTGTTTAGATGTAACTGCTATTCTTGATAATAAAAGAGACTTGGAAGGTTTTCTTCACTTTCTGGATTCTGATCAACTCGCTTAGCATAGGATATTATCTGGTCCCTAAAAATTTGATAGAATCCCCTGTATTCTTAATGAGATAGTTCCTTAAACATTTTCTTTATTTCTTCAGTAGACATTGATCTATGTGACATTTTTTAAGAAGAGTTGGAAGTTGAATCCAGGACCTCATGCATGCTAGGCAGGTGCTCTCTTCATAAGTCAACATCGTTAACTTTCGTCTCTTTTAATAGACTGTTCTAAAATTCATACTTCTTGCCTCCACCTCCCAAACTCTAAGATTATAGGAATATGCCACTACATTTAGCCTGAGGTCAATTTTTTTTTTCAATGCTGAGAATGGAACAAACCCAAGGTTTTAGAAATGCTAGGCGGGGCCTCTGCCAGCAAGCTGCATTCCCTGAGTCTGCAACCAATTTGTATAATTGAATTTTCTCAAGACAGTGTTCATCTAATCTGGTTTTCAAATGGACCTATATAAAGTTGCACAAGGTAATTTCCAAGGGTTTTTTTTTTACTTCCTTCATATCATATTTGTTCTTTCTCCTTTTTTGAGGAAATTAGCTAAGTTAGTTGTCTACTTTATGTGCTATAAGAACAAAGGCCCTACCTACCCATTTGATCGACTGTTTCCTGCTCCTTATCTCGTTAACTAATGTGCCATCTTTATAATTTCTTTTCACATTGTTTTGGTTAGCTTTCTTGTTTTTATTGTGTTTTGTACTGAAAATATTTTAAAACGTTCCTTCTTTCTTAATTATTTATAGAGGGATTTAGGGCTATGAATTTTCATGGCTGTTTCCTATATAGCCCATTAGTAGATATAAATTGTTGCCATTGGAAACTATGTCATTTCTGTTTTTATTTCCATTCATAGAAAATGCTTTACTTTGAAAATTGTTGGCCTTAATGCCTGTGATATCAGGATCCTGTTCAGAAAGCCCTTTCCTGGGCCTGTAAATTCAAGGGCATTCCTTACTTTCTCCTCTGCCAGGTTCAGGGTATCAGGTTTTTTGTTGAGATCCTTGATTTATTTTGAGTTGAATCCTGTGCAAGACAGAGGTAAGGATCTACTTTCATTCTTCTCCATGTAGCTGTCCAGTCTGACCAGCACCATTTGCGGAAGGAGTTGTGTTTTCTCCAGTGTGTATCATGAGCCTCTTTATGGAAAATCAGGTGACTGTAGAAATATGGGCTTATATATGGGTCTTCAATTTCATTCATTTGGTCAATTTGGCTCGTGTTTTTATACCAGTACCATGCTGCTTTTGTCGTTGCTGTTGTTGTTTTTCTATGGCTCTGTAGTATAACCTGAGATCAAGGACAGTGATACCTCCAGCAGTTTTGTTTTGTTTTTTAATTCAGGATTCTTTTAGATATCCTGAAACTTGTATTTCCATGTGAAATTTAAGATTCTTTTTTTCAATTTTTGTGAAAAAATGAGTTGGAATTTTGATGTAGATTGCATTGAATCTGTAGATTGCTTTTGATAAGATGGCCATTTTTACAATATTAATCCTACTAATCTATAAGCATGGGCGCTTATCTCAATGGCCCCACAGCTCTTTATAAAATCAAGTTTAAGGATGAGATAAACAAGTATATAAAACAGCACAACAGGAAAAGGGGAAGCTAGAGATGTGTTGTTAATTAGATAGAAATCAGGTGATCAAAATGAATGACATCTAACATGTCAGTGGAAGTGCTAGGGGAGGCAGCACCCTGGAGCCATCCCCAACAGACACACTGAAAACTCAAGCAACACCTGCTAAAACCAACTTTGACAGAACCCTGGAGAATAGGCAATGGTTTACTCCCACCAGACAAATGCTGGAAAAGGCATCTTGAGAGTAGAAGAAGAGCTTCGTGGTCTATTCTGCCCTTGCTTTGTCCCAGTCAACCCTGTGGCAACTGCATGTTTTGCTCCTGCCCAGAACCTGGTCCCTGGTTCTGAAGGGAGCAATGTGCACCTCATTTACAAAGAAGTGTAGTGGTTCCATTCTCATTTATTGGAATTACCCAAAGGACTGACTGACAAGGGTGCTTATCACTTTTTTTTTGTTTTTTTTTTGTTTTTTTGTTTTGTTTTTGCCTGATACAAAACCCACTGCAGAGAATCAGTGGGCATCACTCAACCACATCATAAGGCAAACAACCTGCAGCTATCTGAGGAAAAATAATAGTTGAGATAAACAAGAGAGCTCAAGACTAGGGTATCTGGGAAAGAGATACCTCGTGAAGTCAGGTCATTCCAAATCACCTCTGTAAGCTAGGAAATCTAGAAAGCCTCAGGCATCCCAGGGCAGGTGATGTGCTAGGAAAAGACCTAAGAAAGGCTGAGCTCTCACCTTTGATGTGCAGTGTAAACAGGAAGTGAAGGCTGAAACAGTTGGGAATACTGTGACCACAGGAGCCCAACACAGACGCACAATCACAAACACTGAGAGAGCCTCTGTCTTTTTGGTGCTGGATCTGTGCTTATTCCATCACTGAAGCTGGTGTAAATGCTAAGAATGCTTTCAAGAGCAGCAGTCAAGGGACGTTCTTCTTAGGCACAGACATCTGTCACTGGGAAATGCCCAGCAGGGAAGAGCAACTCTTGGGGCTCTGTGCTTCTCAGCGATTTCAGCTTTAATCTCTGAGATGCTGGTTAACAGGCAGTCAGATGTAGGCCTCACCCTGATCTCTGTGGGAGATCAAAGCAGCAGCTGGTTGTCCAATTCTGTGAGATACTTCAAAGGACTGAAACCAGCTCACCTCGGTAGTGACCACAGTTGTGGCCCAGGCCCTGGCAAGCACATGCTCCCCTAAAGTTGGATGGACATCCTTTTATAAAAGCAGTGTTTGGTTTTGCTTTATGGGCACACCAGAATTTGAGGGCCACAGCCTCTCTGGTGGTGTCTGTTTGGGAGTCTTGGGTGGATGCTGCACACATTGCAAATCTCTGCTGCCCACTGCACAGGCCGAGCTTTAAATGGTGGTTGGCTCCAGGGGAGGCAGGGTGCATGTAATTTGAGCTCTGTCCCTCTGCAGACAGTGCCGACAATGATGGATAATATGCCATTTTTCCATGCAGGAAGGGCATTCCCATGGAGCATGTGACACACATGGACAGAGAGCAGACCAAGAAAGTAGTGTACTCCGTGGTCTATGGAGCAGGTGAGCCATAGGGAAGGGCTGGGTTCTTGGTGTCACCCATCAGCCAAAGGCTGTATGCCTACATTTAAGTGGGCCATGCTTCAGAGAAATCACTCTCTAAGTCCCTGTGTGTTATTTACATAAACACTACAGTGGTATTTGTGTCACCAGACACCAATCAAACTACTCCATGCTGCTGACTTATAGTGCCACAGACCCTGTAAGAGGACGCAACAAAGCCAGGTAGTGGTGGCGCACACCTTTAATCCCAGGACTCAGGGGGGCAAAGGCAGGTGGATCTCTGTGACTTCCAGGCCAGCCTGGTCTACAAGAGCTCCAGAACACCCAGGGTTACACATAAAAACCCTGTCTCAAAAAAAAAAAAAAAAAAAAAAAAAAAAAGGTGCTGAGTGTGACCAGACTCTACCTCACATCCTACCAGTGACAGGCATCATCTCTACACTTAGAAACTCCACTCTAAACACACTCCAAGGTTTTTTAGACTTCCATAACCCCAAAATGGACTCTTGTTGGATTTGGTTCTCCTCAGCACATATTCAATAATAATAAGCCATCCTTCTCTTTCTCCTCTTTCCAGAACCAGACAATGTAACCCTTCTACTTCGTCCACTCCCTTTTTCCACTCCCTGAATAGTCTTTCAGTAGTTGTCTTGGTTAGGGTTGTTATTGCTGTGAAGAAACACCACAATCATGGCAACTCTCATAAAGGTAAATACTGCATTGAGATAGTAGCTTACAGCTCAGAGGTTCAGTCCATTATCATCATGGCAGGGAATATGGCAACAGCAGGCAGGCATGGTGCTGAAAGTAGCTGAGAGTCCTACATCTTGCAGGCAACAGGAAGTTGACTGACACACTGGATGGTATCCTGAGCATAGGAAACCTCAAAGCCCACCCCCACAGTGAAACGGTTCCTCTAACAAGGCCATACCCACTCCAACAAAGCCACACCTAATAGTGCTGCTCCCTATGAGATTATGGGTAGTTACATTCAAACTACCACAGCAATGTTTTGTTTTGTTTTAATATTTTGTTTATGTTTAGATGTTCTGTCTGCATGTACATCTGTACACCATGTATGTGCACTGGCCCCCAGAGACCAGAAGATGGCATCAGATCTGAGTGAACTGGAGTTACAGATGGTTGTGAGCTGCTGTGTGGGCACTGGGAATCAAACCCCCATCCTCTGGAGGAAGAGGCAGTGTTCTTAACCGTTGAGCCATCTCTCCAGAGCCTGAAGTGTTTTCTTTTCTTCCTTTGGGCCATGCTAAAACAAGGACTAGTTCCCCTCAGAAGAGGATCGGTCTGTCTGTTGTCACAGAGCCAGGCCTCCATGGGCCTCCTTCTTGCTTTGGTAGATACTACTTTGAACACATTGGGATTTGTGCATAGACCATGAGAAGAGTCACCTCCTGACCACTGAAATCCTATGACTAGCCAAAGAAAGTCAACAAAACTACACAGGCCTCAGTGTACATTGCAGCATAGTACATATTTGTCACCCCTAGACTCCACAGTCTCTGTGACTGCAGTGCATGGATGTGCATCCCAAATGCTTCTTCTCCATCAACAATACTGTCTTGTCCAGATCCCTCTCCAGCACTCATGGGAATGTTTTCCCCACATGCACAAAATTCATCCATCTTTTTTCAGCACTCCTTCTCAGCCATTATCCACCACTGTACCAGTTACCCATAGCAAGGCAGCAAGCTACCACAGAAAACCCTTTTGATGGAGCTGGAGAAATGGCTCAGAGGTTAAGAGCACTGCCTGCTCTTCCAAAGGTCCTGAGTTCAATTCCCAGCAACCACATGGTGGCTCACAACCATCTGTAATGAGGTCTGGTGCCCTCTTCTGGCCTGTAGGCGTACACACAGACAGAATATTGTATACATAATAAATAAATAATTTTTCCTCAAAGTTTATTAAAATACAAAAGTCTCCATTTCCACCCCTCCTCCCAACCCCCTCCCACTCCCCCCACTCCCTGTCCTCCTCCTTCTCCATCCCCAAGAGCAGTCAGGGTCTCCCGCCCTGTGGGTAGTTCAAGCTCCTCCCCTCTCCCTCCAGGTCCAGGAAGGTGAGCATCCAAACAGACTGGATCCCATAAATCCAGTATATGCAGAGGAAACAAGTCCCAGTGTCATTGTCAATGGATTTTCAGAAAGACTCCGGGCCAGCCACTTTCAGAGAATCCGGCCTCATTCAGAGAATCTGGCTGGATCACGTGCTCGCTCAGTCCTATGCTGGAGAGGATGTGGAGTGAGGGGAACACTCATCTATTGTTGGTGGGAATGCAAACTTGTGCAGCCACTGTAGAAATCAGTGTGGCGATTTCTCAGGAAACTGGGAGTCAACCTCCCTCAGGACCCAGCAATTCCACTCTTGGGAATATACCCAAGAGATGCCCTATCATACTACAAAAGTATTTGTTCAACTATGTTCATAGCTGCACTATTTGTAATAGTCAGAACATGGAAACAACCTAGGTGCCCCTCAATAGAAGAATGGTTAAAGAAGGTGTGGAACATATATATATTAGAGTTTTACTCAGCGGTAAAAAACAATGACATCTTGAATTTTGCATGCAAATGGATGGAAATAGAAAACGCTTTACTGAGTGAGGTAACCCAGACCCAAAAAGAGGAATATGGTATGTACTCACTCATAAGTGAATTCTAGCCATAGTTAAAGGTATTTGAGTCTATAATTTGTGATCCTAGAGAAGCTAAATAAGAAGGTGAACCTGAAGAAAATCATATAGTTATCCTCCTGGATAGTGGAACTAGGCAAGATTGCAAGGCAAACTCGGGTGCATGGGGAGTGGGGGGTGGAAGTAATTTTTTTTTTAAAAAAAAAAAAAAGAAAACCCTTTTGTTACCTCCAAGTCCATGTGGTGCCTACCCTGCAGGCTACATTCAGTATGCTAACTGGAACTGTGATGTCTTCTGTGTGGTACCATCAGAGGCTCTGTTGATATTCCGCTTTCCTCAGCTTCTGTTTCCTGCTGGCCCCATGGGCCTCTGGAATAAACAGCCTGCGCTGTCACCGCTTCACACGTCAAAACGGCTGGCTGCACAGTACCACCTGGATACCGCTCATCTGTTAGGGTAAAATGCCCATCCTGAGCACGAGCCCAAGAAGCTAGGAGTGCTCATTAGTTCTGCCTGCTAACTAGTGCAGAGAAGCACAAAGCACCCACTGAACAACCAAAACTCCTTTGAGAACATCAGATCATATGACGTGTCTAGAAAGCAGCATGGAAGCCAGTAATCAAACCTAGGGGAAAGGGACAGTCATGCGGTGATGGGTCTCCTGTCCCATTTCCTCCTTAGCCTCCCCTTACTACCCCTCCTCCAGACCTCAGAGGTTTCTACCCTGGAAGAAAGCTGCATTCTGCCAGACAGATTAGAACCTGGTACCTTGGATCCTCCACCCCCACCCAGGCTCAAATCCCAGTCAACTCTTGACCTGCTAATGTCACAAGAAGCCCTGTACCTCTTTGCCCATCCCCTTTGCCATAAAGGCTTTCATATGGTTGCTGGAGCCACAACTGGCACAGTTAACTCACGCCACCGTCATCTGCTTCCTGTTTGTCTGGGTCCTGTTTCAAGGGTGAGCTATGTTGCTAAGCTTCCAGAGGTCTCTTGGCCCTCCAAGCTGGAGCTAGCTCAATAGCAAAGTAGGGTTGTAGGATGAATGTGTGATTCTCTTGAGTGTTGCCTGGCCCTTGCTCCTCTAGTACTAGGGTCACCCCTCACCACAATAGTTGTATCCCAGAGAAAGATGGCCTCACAGCACCCACTGGCTCCTTCTGAGCTTTTACTTTATGTTTTCTGGAGAGGAAGAGCGCCTCACTGTAAATAAGCAGTGAGTCATTAGCTATGATGCTGGTGAAGGGAGTAATTTGCTGCTTTTAGCCCTGTGGTGACAGGGGCTCCCACCCTGAGCTTCTATCTCTGTTGCTCCATTGTTCCTGCTCCACCGACAGCTGGAATTACTGTGTGTCTGCTGTTCAGTTCATGCTGTCTCTATCCCACCCCCCTTATTTGAGCCAGAACCTTGCTGATGAGCAGGCTGAGGGCATAAGTGAATCACCAGGCCCCAGTGCTGCCAGGGTCTTGGGAAACCCAATGGAGGAACTTTGGACAGGCAACTTGTGCTAGCAAACAGGAGTGTGTCCACAGAAGCCATCTCTGAATAACCCAGCAGCTGCCATAGTAGTGCTGAGCCAGGGAGAAACATAACTCCAGTGCAACCTTCAGAAATCAGTTATGTGATCATTGTGAGGACTGTGGTGAGCACAGAAGGGAAAGCCACAGGGCTATGAGACGAGCAGAGAAGCACTGGAAGAGATGTAGGTGTGCATGCCCAGTCACCTGCAGCATATACGACTGTCTGCCTGGCCTCCTATGACCTCAAATTCATGTACTCTTGTGTTATCTGGGATCTTGACCCAAGCTGGCTCACAAGTCTACTACTTCTCCTGTAGCCAGCTGAATTCAGCATCTGCCAACTTACTGGGCATCTCATCTTGCTGGGCCTGCAATAGAAACCCTAGCTAAGACACTATCCTGAGCACAGCAGAACCCTTGTGTCTTCTGGAAGTCATTCCTAACCCCCAGGCTTGCTGGGCTTGTGCTTTCTAAGGGTTAGCCTAGTGCTGAGTCCTCACCATGATTCCTCAGTGAACTCCATATTCAGCTGTATAATCCACTGGTGCTTACTGGATGCATGCAGAATGCCAGACACACCCTGTACCAGGAGGACAGTAGATAAGGGTTCAGCCTGCTCCAAGCACCTGACTCTGTCAGGAGAAACCAAGTCTCAAACTGAGTGCCCAAAGGATTGTATTTATGATGGAGCCCAGAGCAGCAGCATCTGGACTGTACAGGAAGTTCTGTTCAAGTAGACCAGACAGCATTCCTGGGGCTCTCTGTGACTAGGCACTTGCTCAGCCCTTGAAACAGAAGTGCCCTAGTTATATTTCTGTTGTTATTTTAAAAAACCCTGCTGGAAAGCAGCTTAGGGAAGAAAGGTTTAATTATACTTACAATTCTAGGCTGCAGTCCATTATTATTGTAGGGAAGTTAAGGCAGGAACTTAGGCATCGCATCCATAGTCAAGAGCAGAAAGAGAAGAAACACATGGATCCTTCCTTGCTGCTTGCTTGCTGCTCTCTTAGATCATACAGAAGCCTTGCCTCTGGGATAGTGCTGCCCACAGTGAGCTGGGCCTTCCTACATCAGTCAAAATTATTTCCTATGGACATGCTCAAAGACCAGCACGATCTTAGATAAGTGCTCAGCTGAGGCTCTCTTCCCAGATGGCTCTACTTTGTGTCAAGTTAACAATTAAAACTAAGGAGCATAATCTGCCCCTTAACTTGGCATGCAAGTGCCGTAACTTTCCACTCCTTGATCTGGAAGTCTCACTTTATTTTTTTATTTTTATTTTATGTGCACTGGTGTTATGCTTGCATATATCCAACATAGCGTTGGATCCCTTGAAACTGGAGTCACAAACAGTTGTGAGCTGCCGTGTGGGTGCTGGGAAATGAACCTCCATCCTCTGGAAGAACAGCCAGTGTTCCCAACTGCTGAGATATCTCTCCAGCTCTCATATTAATTTTATAATGTAAAATACAATCCAACTCCAAAAACCTCTAAAAGTCTTCAAAAATTCCAGCACTCCAAAAGTCCAAAATCTATTTTAAATTTTCTTAACTATAGGCTTCTATAAAGACAAAAACAATTTTCATATTTAAATGTTCTTCCAAAAACAAAGCAAAAGCTGCCATTAAAACTCCTAAAGGTTTCAGCCAGCTAAGGCCAGAAGAGGCCTCACTAACGAGGAAATCAAAAAGCGATTCTGAGAGGTTAGAAAGTTCCTCTACTAAGGATCCTTCCCTGTCTTCATAGACACAGAACTCAAGCCCTGAGCCATGGTTTCTAGGACAAGTATCTGAAAGCCTCTTAGGTGCCCTTTGTGCTGGCCAGTTCAAAGCTCAATGTGGTTTCCTCTTGCCCTAGTAATGACCTTCCCAGGAATCAACTCTTGGAATCCCTCAAAAATCAGCTCTGGTCACCCCCAGAGCCCAGGACTTTCCCCACAATACTACTGTTAAGCAAAGGTCCTGGTACCTATTCCTGGGGGGAAATAAAAGAAGACAATTACATGTAAACACCAAATAGAAGCCACACTTGGCTGAGTTTGTTTCATAGGATTCCCTGACTGACCCTAGGGCTAAGGCTAAAGACTTTTTTCTCAATTCACGAATGAAGAAACAGATTTATTTAGAGTTAAGCAACTTCCCCAAGACCACCAGAACCTCCTGTGGGTGACAGAGCTGGTCAGACCCAGGCCTGTGTATCCAGTACCTGCACCCAGCCAACTTGAGGCTTATGTGCTGTGCTGTGCTGTGCTGTGCTGGAACCACCTCCACCAGAGACCTTCACAGCTTCACCACTGCTTCTTCACAAGAACTTTGCCTCTTTCAGGAGCAAAACACTGATCTAGGGCAAACACATGTATTCTAAAATAAGAATGCTAAGCATAGGGGCTCCTGAATGCCATGTTTCCACATTTGCTAATCAACTCTGCTTTCCTTGTTCCTGTGGGCCCTGCCACTTCCCCCAGTCCTACATTCATATCTTTCCTTGGCTAAGTGAGAGTAGGTACTGAGTTTGCCTGAGCCCAGCTTCACATCAGCTCCTGGCGGGCCTTCAAGACTGCTAAGGATACAGGGTTTAAATGGTCCTCTTTGGGTCAACTGCCACCCAGCACCTAGTGTGTAAAGTCCAAACCAATATTATCCAAATCAGCCACATAAGACCCACACCACCTTATTGGCCACATTGTCCCTGAGGCCTGCAGTTAGCTCATTTCCACACACCCTATTCTTACCTGATATGGGTTAGGCCTGATTTCTGGTGGTATGTCTTTCTGATTCACAGGGAAAGAGCGGCTTGCGGCTTGCCTTGGAGTCACTGTGTCAGAAGCCACCCACTTTTTGGAGAGATTTTTGCAGAAGTATAAGAAAATCAAGGACTTTTCCCAGACGGTTATTGCCCAGTGTCACCGTGCAGGTAAACCAACTGCACCGAAGCCCCTCCTCCTACAGTAGACAGTGGTGTCCACAGATTCTCATTTTGTGTCTGTGTGGATAGACAAGTGAGTGTCTGTATGGTTTGTGTATGGGTTACTGAAGTTGGATGGAGGTGGATGGGAGAGTCATATGCCCCTGGATCAACAGGACTAAAAGACTCCATGTGGAAAGGAAGGGGTTAGAGCTAGGTGCTGCTGTCTAGGGGACCAGCCTCCAGCAGCACAGGGCTTTGACAGGAATCCACTGAGTCGGTGGAGTCGGCGAGGCTAAACTTTTCTCTCTGAAGTGGGTTAGGGAGAAAGGCACAAAACTCCTCATGTTTTCCTTCTTTATTCCTATTCTTTTTCTCTCTCTCTTTATTCTCTCTGTCTTATCTCATGTTGTTTTACAGCTTTTATACCCCAACAGAATCTTCCAAGCAGTACAGTTGCATTCCATTTCTCAAGTGAATGATTATAGGTAAAAACATGTTTTTCATCTCCCTGACATGATTAAAAAACAGTCATTCCTATAACCCACATACAATGTATCTAGATAGTGAGCAAGCAAGAGGCATTGTTTTCACTGACAGGATGCAAATTGTGGTTACAAAGAAAGAGTCAGTTACTTAATTATGAAAGGTGATCTTAAGCCTGGCGGTGGGGGTGCACACCTTTAATCCCAGCACTCGGGAGGCAGAGGCAGGCCGGATCTCTGTGAGTTCAAGGCCAGCCTGGTCTACAAGAGCTAGTTCCAGGACAGGCTCCAAAGCTACAGAGAAACCCTGTCTCAAAAAAGAAAAAAAGAAAAAGAAAGGTGATCTTATAAGGAATTTTGAGGGAGCTACAAAACAAACTGTACACAAAAACAGTCAGCTGAACTTCTAGTTTTCAGGGTGCACTCCCATTTATCAATAACAAAAGGTTGAGGTCAGGAATCCATGCAAGAAATCAATCCTCACCTTAATTTATTAACCAGATTTAGCAAGGGGAGCTAGTAACAATCAGGCTGTTTTGTATTTTTGACCCTAGCATAATGAGTCAGACAGTTCAGCTATGTGTCTTTGTGAACCTTAGCTTGTTTTGGAGTTACTTATTTTAAAACTATTAGCAAGGCATCTGGTCTAACCTGAAGTTATAATGAAGCTTTGTTTTAGCTAATGGTACATGACTGTCTTTTTTTAGCCTTAAAAGAATTAGAACAGCCTGGTTCCTGGACTCAGGTGCTTTCCTTTTAATCATTAGCCTGAGCAACTTCTGAAGTGGGGCTCATGAGTCTTAGCTATGAAACATATTTTTGTATTTGCTTTCATTTATCAAAACATGATATAGGCTATCATTATTTTTATCAAATTTGACAGTACAGCTTAAGGAGGGGTCATCTTCCTACAGTCCACAGGCAAAAATGCCCAGTAGAATGGGGTATTTCCAAGATATAAACACACCATATTACAGGCAGTGGCGATCCAAGATATAAACACACTATATTACAGGCAGTGGCGATCTCCCCATGTCAACTCACACCATGCTAGACTCCAAAGAAACAGAGCAGCAGCAAACATGTAAAGTCACAGCAGAAACAAAAGACATTCCAGGGTCTGCAGTCCCATGGCCTTGCCTAAACAAAACTAGCCCGTCAGAGGAGTCCCTTCTGCTGGCTGACACCTGGGACTTCAATTGCAACTCGCTGCTCCTCCGGAAGGGCCCACAGCAACTAGGTTCTGGCTGTAGCAAAAAAATAAACAAGCTTGAATTAACATAATAGCTACACATATAGGTAAAACTAGACAGATAAAGCCCTACGCCTGAAAGCTAGCTGGACTTGGTGGTGCACGCCTTTAATCTCAGCACTCAGGAGGCAGAAGCAGGTGGATCTCTCTGAGTTGGAGGCCCGCCTGGTCTACACAGGGAGTTCCAGGACAGCCAGGACTATTACACAAAGAAACTCTGTCTCAAAAAAAAAATCCTGAAAGTGGACCATATATTCCTGTGAAAGGCTTATAGCCCAATAATACAGTATCTCCACAAATAAGATATATCTGTGAACACAGCATAATAAGGATGTAGCTTTATACACACTCTGTGAGATCCCGTTTGTCCTCTATTTGTTTGGAAATACATTGAAACACTTAGTAACTTTAGATTTTCTATATTTGCATGTGTGTGTGTGTATTCCAATAAAGCAAGTCTCATCAAAAAGTGAGATTTACCTATGTATCTGCTTTAATTGGAGATAAAATGGTGTTTTTATTTATTTTTTAAATATATATTTATTTAATTTTCATGTGCTTTATATATATACATATATATATATTGCTTTAATTTTCAAGCAAAAAAATAAGTGTTTTTGCTTGCATGTATGGTATGTGTGGTTGGTGTTGTGGAAGCCAGAACAGGGCATTGGATCTCCCTGGAACTAGAATTACAGATGGTTGTGGGGCACCATGTGAATGGGAACCAAACTCAGGTTCTGCAAGAACAGTCAGTGTTCTTAACTACTGAGACATCTCTCCAAACTAAGAATGGGTTTTTTTGTTTATTTTTTATAAAGATTTATTTATTCTATATACAACATTATGCCTCCATGTATGCCTGCAGGTCAGAAGAGGGCACCAGATCTCATTACAGATAGTTGTAAGCCACCATGTAGTTTCTGGGAATTGAACTCAGGACCTCTGGAAGAGTAGCCAGTGCTCTTAACCTCTGAGCCATCTCTCCAGCCCCCAAGAGTATTTTTAAAAGAGATATTTGTAACTGTGGATTCAACGCACACACATATATACACATATATATTATAATATTATATATAATAAATTTTAGGAAAGAGCTGCAAAAATCACAGAAGGAAGAAAATAAATGGATGATCACATATTAACAACAAGCAGTAGGATTAATGACTGGTGCAGAGATAACACTCACAAATCACTATTAACAGGATGAAAATTAAAATTGGATTGAACTGGCAGGACTCCATTCCTGAATATGAGCTCTCACATGTGTTCCCAAGGTACAGCAGACACCTGTAGTTCTCAAATGCTCTCAGGGCCTCAAGAGATTATAGCCTGGAGCCTGTGCTTGTGCTCATGGTTCTGAGCAGCCACCACAGGCTTGTCCTTGGCCTGCCTGCAGATGCCATGGGCAGCATTGGTGCCCAAACACCTCTTATTGGTCAAAGGGAGCCTCCACAAACCCCCAGCACAATCAGATTCCACAGCTCGCTACTCACTTAGACCGTTGTCATCGCCCCACATCCAGCAGGTCTCCATCTGTCCTAACTACTGTCCACCCGGGAGTCTCAGTAGAAGTTAAAATACTGTCTATTAGAAGTGATGCAATAGTGTTAGTCTCAGTGTTGATGAGAACTTATGAAGACACTGTCTTCTCACATGCAACAGGTGGAAATATAGTCACAATACAGACTCTTGAGTAACACAGCTGCACACTGGGGGTGACTTATAAATGTTGCCCATTAAGCTACTCAAGTAATCTTCACAATATATAAGAAGTGGGTGATGAATTAAAAAAAGGGGGGGAGAAGTGGATGATGGTGCTGCCACCATTTTACAGCAGAATAAAATGAGTCAGCAAGAGATCCAGGCAAAGCCTGAATCACATGGTCACCGGTAGAGTGAGTGTAGTTCAGCACTCTTCTCTGGTACAGACATCACCTCTCCTCCTTGTTCTTTCTTAAAGGAATGTGGGGTGATAAATACCCCAAGCATATTAGAATAATCACTAGGTTATTGGCCAAGATTATCTGGATGCCTAGCATGTTATCATGCCAGTGCTAAGGACGCAGTTCCTCACTTTCACACCTCACCTTTTGGCAGGTGAGACAGAGAGCCCATGGGATGCAACAAGCATTACATCCCATGTGTGGAAGACACCAAAGGGTTTCAGGACAGAGAGAGAACCCAGAAGAACTGCCAGCTACAGCCTTGCTGAGGAGGTGACCAGGGCTAGGTCTTGAAACATCAGAAAGGGCCTAGGAAAGTCCCCAATGTGAGCAAGTGGGGAAACCTGGGCAGAGTATGAAGAGAATAGATGGGTTGATCAAGCCCAGCCCATCCATAGAGCTTTACATGGCAGGCATCTGAGTTTTGTCTTGAAAAAAAATTAGTCCAGCAACACTGTTGCAAGAGATTTGGAGAGTCTGAGGTCAGAGCTACAACCGGAGGACAGTCTTGAAGTAGCAAAGGAATTAGGAGCAGAGATGAAATGTGGAAAAACAGAGATGTCACTGAAGGAGAGAGATGCCAGAGAGTCTGGGACTCAAACATCTGATTGCCAGTGCTAATGGGGTCAGGCTCTCAGGTGTCCATGTACTCTACCATCCTCAGTTCAAGCAATTACAGTCACACCAGTTACTCCTAAAGCCCAGAGAGGCCAGGCCCACAGCTTGTTCACATAGTCCCTTACTCAAAATGCAAAATTGTCCAAACCAAGATATCTCGACTGCAGTCAATAATGACTCCTGATGCTTTTACTCCAGGTTCCTCTACCTCTTTTCCCATGCCTGGTGCCTTCGAGAGGCCGCTGCCATTTTTAAAATTTAACTAGGAATGAGTGGGTGAGATGATGGGTTCCTGTACCAATATTCTCATGGCTCACCTCTCACTCCTAAGTGTGAGGTGAAGGAATGCCAGGTGTCCTGACATGAGAATGACATCCAGAGTATTGCTTCTACCCTGAGCACCAGTGTGGAGTGGCAGGGCATTAGGTCCTCTTGAACTACAGATAGAAACTCATCACCAGTGCTGGAAATGCTGGGTAGAGGATAAACAAGGTTTGAAGCATGTATAGTCAGATGGCATCCACTTTGGAACACAGTTCAGTCACTCTGGGACAACCATGAAACAGGCACATGAGTTTCAGACACTTGGTGGTGAGTATCCTATTGCTTAGGTTGCCAAGAGAAAAAAAAAGATGAGATGATTCCTGTAAGTTCCTATGTCTGGAGACACACAGCACAATAGCTGGAGAAGACCCACACAGAATAACC